CGCCTGGTACTCGCGCAGCTGCTCCTCCTGCGCCGCCACCGTCGCCAGCAGCTCCCGCCGGCCGGGCCCCTCCGCCGCCTCCATCGCCCCGGACAGCGCGCCCTCGTGCGCCTGCGCGGGCCCGCCCCCTGGCGCGCGGGGGGCGCCGGGAGCGGACGGGGCGGCGCTGTGACGTCTCCGGGGCCTGGCCGCCGCCCCTCGCCCCGCCCCTCCGCTGCCTCCGGCTCCAGCGGGGAGGCGGCGCCCATCCCGGCCCCGCCCCGCGCGCCCTTCGGCCGCGGCGCAGCTGCCAGAGGGCGGGAGGGGCGCGACGCGAGCGGGAGAAGCGGTGAAGGAGGCCCCGAGCAGAAGAGCCGCCCGGCGCCCCTGGCCGGTATGGGCTGCCCAGCGCGTCTCCCTCCGGCGCTGTGTCCGGCCTTCGAGGAAGGGCCCCGGCAAGCCGGACCGCGATCCGCAGGGAGCCGCCGAGAGGGCCCGGCAGGAAGGAGGCGCGGGAGCCTGGGCGAGGTCGCTGCAGGGGCAGGACGACTCCGGGGCTGCGACGGCGGCTCAGGCAGGCTCGGTCGGTCGGCGGCTGCCCCGGGCGGCCGCAGCAGCAGGCGGGAAGTAAACGCGGAGCCCTCGGGAGGCCCCGAAGTGGAAATGGGGCAGCCGCCGAAGGAGCCCGCAGAGTCCTTGGCCGCCTCGCGGAGCGTCGAGGGGAAGAGGCGTCGGCGACGTCCCCCGTCTCCTGGGTTGGAGACCCAGGAAGGACCGTGATGGGCGGGGGCAGCAGCGACCCTGAGGAGAAGAAGCCAGGAATACCGACGAAGGCTTCCGAGGGAGGAAGAGGAAGAGGAAGGAGGTCCCCAGGTCCCGTTGCCATCTCCAAGGCCCTGAAGCGCTGCGGGAAAAAGGTGCCTTCCAGGGAGGAATCGGGTCTCCCCAGAAGCCTCCCGGGCGCATGGCTTACATCCACACAGCCCCCCCCCCCCTCCAGGCGCTGGTTTCACCCATTTTCTGAGCTTCCAGTGAAGTCGGCCCTGGTCTCTGCAGGCATGGAGGAGCCCTGGGTGCAGTTCCATCCCAGGGGGCTGATGTGCCCCCTGACAGAGCCGTGGTAGAATCCCCGAATGAGGGGGCCCTGCCACGTTGCCCTGGCTGCAGCCCCCCAAGAGGGGGCAAGCAAGCAGCTAATGAGCCTGGCGGTTCTGCTTCTGGGTACAGGGAGGGAGGGAGGGAGGGCATCCCGTTTGGGAGGGCAGGGGAAAGCCAGGCAGTTCTTCAGTGCCCGCATTGTGAGGTAACCAGGGGGTCACAAAGGGCAGAGCTGCCCGGGGCTTCTAGCCCTGGAACGCTGGGAAGCGCCACCGGGAGGAGGCCTCCCCAGTGCCACCTGAAGGGCTTGCCTGGGCCCCGCGCCAGAGGCTGGACCAAACGGGACCCCAGGGCGGGTGGGTGGGGGAATCTGCCATTCCTGCTCTGCTCTCCCTCATGCAGATTGGGCTTGTCAACTGGACGGGGGGGTATCTCACCTGCGAGTGCTATGGGGATGGTGTCAGTGTCTTGGGGAGCTCGCTGGGAAAGAAACAGGTATGGAGTGAGGGGACCGATGGCTGGCTCTGGGCGCAGAGGGAGGGGCTGAGCTCCTTCAGGCAGGGGGAGGACAGCCCCCCTGGCAGCAGTGCTTGCTCCCGGCCTCCTGGCACCAAACCCCACCGCCTGCCAGTGGCCCTTTTGCCCCAGCAGCCACCAGAGGAAATGAAAAGGGGGGTGTCTTCGTTTGTTGAATTTTATTCTTTTGAGTTGGGAGAATGCTCTCCATTCCTTAGGAACCACCCCTGGGTGCCTTGAAGTCTGCCCCTCCCTCCCGCAGCCTCCCATCAGGGCAGGGGGAGGGTTGCTGCTGGCAGACCTCTGAAGAGGCAGAGGGGGCCCTCAGGAGAGCTTGAGGCTCCTGGGCCACCTTGAGGGCATAGAGCTGGGAGAGTCCCACACAAGCACCAATGTGAGGCCAGCATCCTTGGGAAGCTGCAGGGAAGGGGACCTCCCCCCCTTTTGGGGTTCCATGGGGCGTCCAGGCTGAGCTGGTTGAGGGGGAGGAGCCAGTTCACCTGCAGGTAAGAAGGAAGAGCTGCAGCCTTGGATGGGAGCCCAAAGCCAGGCTGGGAAAGGCCTGGCTCTCCTCTGGGCGGGGGGGGGGGGGGGGCGGCGGCTGGGAGCATCTGCTCTGGGCAGGCTCCTCTGGCCGGCTGTCCCTCACCCGCCCCTTCAACAGTAGACCGACCAGAGAGGGGCCACCAGGGCGATGGGGCTTTGCCCGGCTGCTCAGCTGGGCCGGTGACTGGGCACTTTTCCTCTCCCAGACCTGGAAGCTGAGGGTGACCACAGAGCAAGGGAAGCAGGACGTGGTGGCACTGGTTGGGCATCAAGGGCAGCACCTCCTGGTGGAAGCAGATGGCACGGTGCGTTGTGGACGGCCAGTGGCCGAGAAGCAGAGCCGGTTTCTGCTGGAGGTCCATCCGAGTGGGGCCTGGACCCTCCAGCAGCTGGAGAGCCAGAAGTTCCTGGAGTCTGATGGGGAGGACGTGTTCTGCGTGGCCCGAGGCCTGACGGCTCACCACCTGTGGATGCCCCAGCTGGCCGAGCATGCGCACGTGGTCCTCTTCAACCCCAGCAGCCAGCTCTACGCCCGGACTGACCCGGAACTGAATCGGGTCTGGGTGGATGCACCCGTGCCCTATCTGGAGGAATGCGGCTTCCTCCTGCGGTTCAGGAAGGGGGCCTGCCACTTGGAGACCTCCACCCACAAGTTTGTCTCCAGAGCAGAGAAGCTGGCCGCGATGCCCTCTGCGGAGACGGCCTTTCACCTGAACCTGAAGCCTGGCTGCCTGGCCTTCCTCACGGACATGGAGGGGCACGTCTTATACCCGCAGGGCAGCCGGGGGCTCCTCTGCCTTGGGGACCACCCAGAGGAGAACGAGGAGTGGTTTGTCATCCAGCGGTGCCCCCCGTGGGTCAGCCTGAGAACGAGAGCCAACCGATTCGTCAGCATCATTTCTGGCAAGTAAATCCCTGTTTTTCCAGCCCAGGAAATACGGGTGGAGAGCAGGGACTCGTCCCACCCTTACCTGGTCAGGTCTCTGCACACCTGAGCCACTTCAGAGTTCAGGTGAGGACAGAAGGAGGGCTCTCCTGCCACCCTGTGACGTCTCTTGAAATAAGAGGTCTGTCTGTCTGTCAACTTAGCGTTTACCTTTTAACTTCGCTATTCAGTCCTAATTCTTCTTTTTAGCACCTTTTAACTTTTTATTATATCGTAAGCCACCCGGTGTTGGTGTGTTAGTGAAGTGGGCGGCATGGAAGTTTAATAAAGAAACGAATAAGGACGGCTACTCTGAAGTCTGCCTTCTCTTAACCGATGACAGGGTTTTCTGGGAGGGAGGCTTCGAAGGGTTTGCAGAGGCTTTCAGCTACTTTTGGCACAAACTGAGGAGCCAATTGGCAAAACTCCTTCCCCTCTCGATTCTCTCTCGCTGTCCTCAGACTCCGAAGTTTACGCTGGTCCTAAGAAGCTGAGCCCAATGTCCACGTTCCTCTTTGAAATGGACTCCAACAGCCAAACGGTGCAGATAAAAGGTGTCCATCACAAGTACCTGGCTCAGGTCAGTCCCCCTGCTGCCACTGCCCCATCCCCACAGCAAGTGGGAGGGCAGGATGGAGCCCCTGGGGATCCAGCACTGGACTCTGGGCCGGGGACGGAGACCGGCCTGGCAGCCACCCACCAGGCAGGAGCAAGCAGGGGCCAGCAGGGGCCCTTTGGAGCTGAGGCAGGGCAGGCTCAAGGGGGCGAGCCGAAGCCCTGGGGAGTCCGCCTGAGTCTCGGGGTGGGGTGGAGGGGCTGGGAACAAAGAGCAGAGCAGCGGAGATAGTCTGCCTAGGGTGGAGGGGCCTCCCTAGCTTGACTAGAGATGGATGGCCCTGCTTGGGCTTGACACTGAGCAAGGCAACCTGATGACCATCCAGGCTGCTTCCGGCCCAGCGGGAGGCGGGAAGAGCCACTCCTGGCCTTTGAGCCCAGTTTTGGGAGAGCCTGCATGGCTCCCAGGGTGTTGCTCCTGTCCTCCGCTCAGCACGTCTGTGAAGAAGCCGCCTTTGGCCAGGCGTTTCCCTCTCCCTTGATTTCCCACCTAGCTACCGTGTTTCTCACATAATAAGGCCGGGCCTTATTTTTTTTTGAGCCCCGAAAAAACGGCTAGGCCGTCTTTTCGGGGGTAACTTAATTTCCCCCCCTTTCATACTCATCTAGAGCGCCCCGCGGGCAGCCTCGCCACCAGCCGCTCCTAACGGGCGATCATGGCAAAGCGCAGAGAGCTCCCTACTCCCACCAAACACCTTTGCTGCAGACCCAAGACCTTTGGCACCTGCCGCTGTTGCTTTCCCTTCTGCCCATTCCGCTGCCGTTTGGAGTGCCGTTGGAGCTGCTGCCGCCGTTTGGAGCCGCCGCCGCTGTTTGAAGCTGCCGCTTCCGCGTTTGGAGCACTGCCGCTGTTTGGAGCACCACCGCCACTCCAAACACGGTGGCAGCTCCAAACACGGAAGCGGCAGCTTCAAACGGCGGCGGCGGCCCTCCAAACGGCAGAGGCAGCTCCAAACGGCGGCAGCAGCTCCAAACGGCAGCAGCAGCTCCAACGGCACTCCAAATGGCAAGTCCCCCCACCCTTCCCCCTATTTTGCATGTTTTAAACTAGGCCTAAATTTGGGGGGAGGGGCTTAATTTGATTTTATGCCTAGAAAACATGCTGGGTCTTCCTATTGGTGGAGGCCGTATTGTTGGAGAAACACGGTAGGAAGGTGCATCTCTTGATGGCCCTGGGGGCAGGGCTGGGGGGTGGGATCTAATTTCTGCCCTCATCCCCTTCTGCTCACCCTTAGAGGGAGAGCAGATCCTGCCCGCCTCCCTCCAGTGGGGGAGGGCTCCTAGGAAGCTTCCAGAAAGCATGCCCCCCCCCCCCGACCGTGGCATTTCCCTTCCCCAGAGACCCTTCCGGAGCGTGCTGGCCAACGGGGCGGCCAAGGAGGCAGAGACCAGGTTCCAGGTCCTCTGGCATTACGGGAAGGTCTTCCTGAGAGCTCCCGGGGGCCGCTACCTGGGAACCCTGCCGGTGGGGCTGCTGGTAGTTCGAGCCGCACACCCAGGTAAGGAGGACCTGTGCCTTGCAGGAAGCCCAGGCCTGCACACCTTTTCCGGCTGTTCCTGTGGCCCTTGGAGGGGAGGGGGAGCGGAATTTGGCCTGGGAAGACCTTCCTTCCTGCCCCGTCCTCCGAACTCCCTCCGTTCCAGCAGCCCCAACCCTACTCCCTTGTACCCGCCTCCCTCAGCCCCTTGGCGCTCCCTTGCCCACCCTCCTCGACCTCCTTGCACAGCCGATTCCGCCCCTCTCGCCCTCAGCATCCCTCGTGCCCCCCCCCCCCGGCCAGTGGCAGAAGCCATTCGCCAGCCGTGTCCCTCCAGCTTCTCCACTGACCAGTTGTGGGGAGCTGGCAGGGCGCTGCCTGGCCTAACCACGGTGGGATTCAGTTGAAGGATGGTGGCTGGGGCCTCTAAGCGGGGTGGGGGTGGGGGGCGGTGCAAGGAGAGGAATCCCAGCCCACCTCCGTTGTGAGGGGAGGGCTGCCTTGGTGGGCCGCCAAGGCCCCGGCAGCAGTGAGGGCAAGGCCGCCCGTCCCCCCTCCTCCATTTCAGGGGTCTCTGCTTTTACCAGATGCCTTCAGCAACGGCCCAGCCTCTCATGGACTCTGTTTAGGGACCGTTCAAAGTTACCACATCACCGAAAAGAGAGACTTGGGACGACTGTTTTTCACCCTTAACAACCGTTGCTGCATCCCTGGGGTCACGGGATCAAAATTCAGACAGGCCAAGGAATTGCACAGCAGGCATCCAAATGAAGTCAGAGACACGGACGGGAACTTCTAGCTTTACATAAATAGATTTTACATCTGTTTATGTATTCATCCACGTCTGTCTGTCTGTCTATATCTACCCTGTTTCCCTGAAAATACATCCTACCCTGAAAGTAAATCCTAGCTTGATATTTACACATGCACCCAACATAAGCCCTAATTAAGATCCTGCCCACTCCAGAGTGGACGGGTAAAAACTAAGCCGGGGGGGGGGGGGATGCCCTACTACTTACCTTTGGACAGGTGTAGGCAGGCCTCGCACACCCCGACACCTGCCTGGCCGGCCCATTTCTTCTGCAGCCGGCAAGGCTGGCCAGGCTTTCCTGAAGGCCTCTGGAGCTGAGAACAAAGCTCCGGATCGTTCCTGAAGGCTGCAGGGGCCTCAGGAAAGCCTGGCCAGCCGCAGAAGAGGAAGTTCCTGAAGGCCTCTGGCAGGCCTGGTGCCTCTTTTGCTGGGTGTGTGTGTGTATCTGCCTGTCGATCGATCGATCGATCTCTCTGTCCATCCAACCCAATCCACCTTCGTGCAGCAGAGGCGAGTCGGGCGAAGAGCAGCCGCCTGCGGTAAATCCCAGCGCACAGAAAGGCGGCACGCGGGAGAAAAAGGCGGGAAAACAGGGAACCGCCCCCTCCCTCCCCACAGCAGCCAATCACACCACAGATCGCCTCACACGGGAGCCATCAATCAACCACCGCTGGGAGTTCTGGCTCCCTGCACAGCCCTCCAGCCGCTGAACTGGAATCTCTTGGTGGGAATCTTGGCAACTGACTTGGATTGATGACGGCCGCAGTCTTCCCAGGGTCACCGGATCCCCTTTTGCGACCTCCCATCAAGCAAAGTCCATGGGGAAACCAGATTCACTTAACAATCAGGTTGCTAGCTGAACAACGGCAACGATTCACTTAACAATTGTGATGAAAAAGGTCATAAAGTGGGGCAAAACTCACTGAACGACTGTCTCAACAATGATAATTTGGGCTCAGTTGTGGTAGGTCAAGGACTATCCGTGTTAAAAATTCAGGTATATTTTAAGAAATGTATCTCTAACTTGGCAGTCTGTGTAGCAGAGTCAAAGATCAGCACGGTTTTTTTTTTTACAACGTTTGTGTTTATTAAATGGATATGCCACCCGCCTCACTGCCTGATTGGTTGTTTCATTGATCTCTTTTTGAAAGCGCCCCCTGAGAGGAGGGGGATGCTGCGAAGGGGACGGGGAGGGGGTGTTGCCCACCTGTGGCCCCAACCGTGGCTGAGCTGATGGGAGCATCCGGGTGCCCTCCCCCCCCCGGGCTCTGTGCCAAGCCCCCCCTTTCCCCTCCTCCCCCCCCAATCCCGGGCCAGACGGAGCCTCCGCAGTTCTTTTCTGCCGCAGGGCCCCACGAGGAGTTTGTGCTGCGCTTTGCCAACCGCTCCTTCCTGGTGCTGCGTGGGCACTACGGCTACGTGGGCAGCTCCCCCTGCCGAGGGACCCTGCAGGGCAACCTCCTGGAGCCGGAGCCTGTGGAGATCCTGCCTTGCAAGCACGGCGTCTACCACCTCCAGAGTAAGCAGCAGGCCCTGGGGGGTGGGGGGCTTCCTCCCCCAAGAAGCTGGGCCAGGAGGGGCTCCCCAGGCGATCCCATCCGCACAGACACCGCCCGTTTGGGACCACTGTCGGCACAAACGCCTCCGAAATACAGTCGCCCTTCCCTCCCCCACCTGGAGGGCTGCGGATGGGAGAGATGGGGGACTAGCCCTTCTCCTCCCTCCCTCCCTCCCTCTCACAGGCCGTGGAAAGAGCTTTTGGTCCCTGACCCCAGAAAGGACCTTCAGCCCCTGGGGGAAGTTTGCCTTGAACTTCTACCTGGAGATCCAGGGGAAGAACCTGCTGGCCATCGTAGCCCCCAATGGCTACTATGTGCGTGGAGACCGGGAGGGTTGCCTGGTGGCTGACAGCGAGGAGATCGCCCGAGACTGCCTTTGGGAGTTCTAGCCTCGGAAAGGTAAGGGGGGGGCAGGGACGGTCCTGGGAGGATGGGGGCTCTCGGAGCCTGCCCTCTTCCCCCTCCCCCGCCCCGTGGGTCCCACTTGGGTCTGACAAGGGGAAGAGGAAGGAGGTCCTCTAACATTCCCTCCTTGTCTGCAGGCCTTGTCGGAAAGAGGGGCCCCGGCTGAGTGGCTGTCTGTCTGGGCACGCCCTGCAGGGCACTCCACCCTTGGTTGTCCCGATTGGCGGCTGAGGAAGAGCTTGTTGCTGTCCGCATGAGCCAAAGGGGGGCCCTCCCCTCGCCTGCGAAATCCCGTGGGGAGGGCCCCTTGTGAGCTCTTTGCACCAATGAAGTGGCTTCACCCCGTTTGGGCCCCTGTTGCGTTTTCTCCTTGGCCTCCTGGCTTTGGGAAGTGGGTCAGAGGTCTCTGCTCTGGGTTCAAATGGCTGGAGGGAGGTGGGGGAGCTGTGAATGAATCCAAACCAGGCTTGTTGCTCTGTCTGGGGAGCAGGGCCGCTCCGAGAGGCCCTGAGGATGGGCTTCCCTGCAGATCTCCCCAGGCCGGCCACCGCCAGGCTGCCTCTCGGCCCCAGCAAGAGCTTTTGGGCGCTGCCTGTCCAGAGGACGAAAGGAAGAATCCATTTGGGCCCTGGAAAGGCCCGTGTGTGTGCGTGTGCGTGTGTGTGCGCACGCGCGCACACGCAGTGTCCCTTGTCTTCTGCCCAGAGGCCTAGGGTTTGCCTCCCCCAGGGCTCGGGGCAGAAGGGCACCCAGGAAGCCGCTGGGCCTCCCTCCTGGCCTCGGAAGGAGGGTCGAGGGCTACAAACATTATTGGAAAGGATGGGGCATGCGGAGGGGATGAAGGGCAGTTGTCCACCTTAGTTATTCCCCTCCCCGGCCCTTAGCTTGTGTTTTTCTCTGTGGCAGGATCTGATCTTCTCCAGCCTCAGTTTCCATGCCTTCAGGAACTCCCCCGCCTTTTGCTTTCCCCGTCCGTCCCCGTGTTTTATTCCCTCTGGGTCTGCTCTGTTCTCCTCCCCGCCCCTCCATGCTGCTGCTGTCACTTCCCCGTTTATCTTTCCTCCGGCCCCTCCAGCCTCTTTCCCTGCCTCTTCCATGCAGCAGCCTCTTCTGGCTCTGCCCCATCCACACACTGTCCCACTGGGACTCCTTTGGATGGGCCTCCAGGTACCTTCTCTTCCACTAGTCCTGCTTTCTTCCCTTCTTTTCTTCATTTCCCCCCAACCCCCTTCTTGACGCTGCACAGTAACCGCCTGCCCCACCTTTTGTCCTTCGCAGCAGGGCTTGGTCCTCCTTCGCAAACAATCCCATCAGCCGGGCTTTTAGTTGGGCCTAAACCGACTTCGTGCTTGAATGGGCCAGGCACCTTTCTTAAAGTCTCCATTCTTGCTAATTCTGGCGTCTTCCGGTGACGAAATTGCTTTTTCTGTACTATAAGCTGTTGTGTTAATCACAGTTCAGTGACAGGAAGCAGAAAACACCTTTTTTTTTTAAATTTGTCAATTGCTTACAAGATAATAAGTATAAGTAAAAACATACAGTAGTTATGAATACATGGATACATATAAGAAAAATAAAAAATATAGAAAAGAAACAATAGGCAGCAACCCACATAACCTTTTATTCACAAGTAGTTTTACCCTACAGCTTGACTTGCCTGCAAGTTCAAAATTGTGGCCTTTTGTCACTGGGGTGGATTTGGTTTCCCTGCTGCCACCAGACCGGGAAGGGAATTCTTTGGTTCTCCCATCGGGAGGCAGAAACAGGCAAACAATCACATTGGCTGATTCATTCTGGCTAAGAAAGAACCACAAGCTTCAAGGCTGCAGTTCAGGTGGTCTCCCTTTCGATGCGCGCCCGCTGCAAGGGACCGAGCCCAGCGGCCGACGTTCCCCCCCTTTCAGGCGGCCCAGCCGGGAGAAGCGGGGGTCCCGCGGGCGGGACGCTTTCCTGGGAGCCGGGAGCGGCTGCGCGCTGCCTAGGAAAGCGGGACTTGGCAGGCAGTCCAGGAGTCCCGGAGGCTCCCCGCGGAGTTGGGCCGAAGCTGCTTCCGGGAGGGGCGGCGGCAGCGGCTGCCTTCGGAAGGGCCGCTGTGGAGCTCTGCCCTCAGGCGGCGAGGCTGCTTTGCACCTCCGTCCCCGGGGCCTCAGCGGGTCTTCCCCTGCTCGGGCGGCGGCGGCTGGTTCCTTGCAGCGGACGGAGAGCCGGAGCTCAGGCGGGTGCTGGGAGGCTGCGGCTGTGGCGCTGGCCTTCCCTCTGCTGGAGCGCACCCCCGCTGATTGCCCGCTTCATCCCGGTTGGCAGACGGTGGAAGCCGGGCACCCCCGCCCGCTGTAGGCGTAGAAATGCTCTCCCGCTTTTGAAGCGCCCCTCGCTTCCCCAAAGCTTGCTCAGGCATCTCTCCGCTGCCCCGCCTCAACTCCAAACCTGTGAGAAGGCCGGCCTTTCTGTTGCTCTGTCAGCGCGCAATAGAGACTCGGCTTCTCCCTCCCTGGGCCGAACCCCTCACACCGGCTTTTTTTTGGGGGGGGGGCAGCCAGGGAAAGGTGGCCAGTCCGGTGGCATCAGAGGCTTTTGCCCATCTCCATAGGTTGGAGGGTGCCAAGGCAGCCCCGTTAGGGTCAGCAATCCCCAGCAGGGGAAGCAGTGGCAGGCGTGGCCAGTGCCCACCTACCTGCCCACGGTGGGAGGCTGCAGACTTGGTGCCCTAGTGGGCAGCCGCCATTCACACGCAGCCCCTGGGAAGAGACAAGAGGTGAGCTGTCCCACTGAGGGCTGTGATGGGGCAAAGAGAAAAGCGGCAGCTGCCTCCCACCCACTGCCCTCCAAGGCTGCACGTTGACTCAGACAGTGGCAGCAGCCTGGGGTGGGCATTAAGGCTCCCGATAGCTGGGTGGGCAACTGGCATGTCCTCGGTCCAGGTGCCAGCTTCTCTTGCCAACGGGTAGGGATCCTGCATCAGCCTCTTTCTAGGACTTGTCTCTCTTACCATGCTAGGTAAGTACCTGGGGTTGCAGGCCCAGAGCCAGCATGCTGTGCCCGCAGGGCTTCCCGTCGCCATCTCGCTCTCCGATTAGAGAACCAAACCTAATCGAAGTAAAGGCAAAGAGGAACGGGTGAGGGCTTCTTCCGGCTTGGGAAAGCCTTGTCCAGTTCAGCAGTGCAGGAGGGGCCTCCCTCTGCTCACCTTCAGGGTGGCTTCAGGCAGTCCAGACTGCCCAGCCAGTTCCGCCCGGGCGGCTGCTTCCGGGTATTGGCTTCTCTGGAAAGCTGAAAGAGGGAATGAGCGGGTCAAAGCAGCCAGGGGCCAGAGTGAGGCAGGGGCCCTCCTGCCCAGTGGGCTGCAAAGTCCGAGGCCAGAAATTTGCAGGGGCCACATCTCTCTCTGCCCCACAGAAATGTGATTGTGACTGGCATCACTTGCAAGCTTCTTTCTCTCCCTTCTGTATCTTCCATGCCTTAAAGGCAGGGTCTCCAACCTTGGTCGCCTTAAGGCTTGTGGACTTCAACTCCCGGACTTCGCCAGCCAGCTACAAAGTCCCCGAGTCTTAAAGCGGCCAAGCTTGGAGACCTCCTGCCTTAAATGATCTTTGGGTTGCTGCTTTTCCCCCTAAGCAGGTTACCCTCCTCTTGCTCTCGGACTCCTTATCCTTTGTTCCTTCCTCTCTTTTACATGTCTGTGAAGCTCTTCCTGAGATGGCAGGACCAAAATGGCCCTTGAAGTGATGCTTCTGGATGACGAAGTGCAATTCCCCCCCCCTTCCCAAAATTCAACTAAGCTGGTTGAGAACCCCTGCCACACCCTCCTTCCTGTCTTCAGAAGCACCTGGGTGTGAGAGGGCCCAGTTCTTGGGGGAGGGGGTGTCAAAGGGCATCAGGACATTTCTTTTAATCTAGCCTGCAGCCATGATTTTAATGACTCACAGTAATCTCCTTATTTCAATCCACTGTGTTTTGCTACCTATTCCGGGAAAGCTTCGATGGCAACATTAGAAATCAAGCAAAAGAAGGCAGTTTTATAAAGTGCTCCCCTCAAACCTTTGCCCCCTCCCCGGATCCCCCTCCTTCGATGCCCTCCTGACTCACCACTCTCCAGGACCTGCAGCTGCTCCTTGGAGAAGACAGTCCTGCTCCGAGTTCTGGGCAGCCCAGTCACCCCCGCTGACTGCAAGGAAGATGGGAAGGTGGGAGCCTCTGCCAGATCCCTCCTCTCCCCTTCTCCTGCCAGGAAGGGACCTATGGGGGGGGGAGGGAGGGAAAGGCAGGGTGACAGTGCATGTCCTGGGCCCTTACAGCCAAGGAAACGCACCCTCCACTTATCCCAGGCAATAACACTTCAAGTGCACGGCCCTGGCCCTGGTTGCACCTACGGTTCCATAGGATGAGGACACAGCCAGAACTGGTGGCGGGAGGGTGTGTGTGTGTGTGTGTGGCTGTGAAGGATGGGTGATTAGCGGATCTCCTCAAGAATTGGCAGAGTCGCCTCTTCAGCATCTTGTCACATCAGAGGCACAATTGGAAGAAGGTTGGGAGAAGAACAGGGTACAAATGGGGAAAAACCTGGAGTCTCCAAGATAGACAATTGTTTCCTGAAACAGGTTACTAGAAAAATTGGGTTTCATCTATTTTGCTCGACTCAACGCCGTCTTATGATATATTTCTCAGTATTCATAAAGTTACAATACTTCCCTAGAATCTTGTACTGTCTGGCAATAACTTGAATTCCATTCCAATTTCTTTAAAAAGTGTTTTTCCCTCTATCTATAGCAGATCAGTACTACCTTGTGGCTGGTCTGGGGCAAATTTTCATCTTTTTTTTTTTAGTGGTGATGTTGTTTCATTGTTGATTCTCAGAAGTTTTGCATTTCAGTGTCTAATGTAACATGGAAAATTTGCCTCTGGATGTGTAACATTAAAAAAAAAAAAGTTCTTTTCCTAACAGTTTGCATTTGCTCATCTCTGGTGAGATTAGTCCAAGAAGGGAAGAGAGCGTCGTCGTCTCACCCGTGTAAGCCACGCGGGCAGGAATTTGCAATGTAAATCTGCCTTCCCCTTGCCAGGACTCTTTCTCTGGCACTGTAGCAGAGGAAGTGGTGGCTGCGGGACCCCCAGGCTGCTCACCCAAACCAGGAGGGGGGGGGGGGGGGGCGTCCAGACTGGGGGCTCCTGGAAGGGTGATAGGCACCTTCAGGACTCAGCCATTCCAGCCCTTCTGTGATGACCCAGAGCACGGCACACAAATAACACAAACAGCTGGTAGTTCAAACTGCCCCTCTATTGCTCCAACTGTGCCCCCAAACGTTCCCACATCACTACAAGTCCTGGAGCAAAGCTCTCACACGCACCTTCGGAAGCCTCTGCCTGCAAGTAGCCCAGTAAGCCAGATTAACCAAAGAAGCAAACCAGGGCCAGCAGTCCAATGAGCCAAATTAGCCCAAACATTAACCAGACCAAGAAGTTCAGCGAAGCAGGCAAACTGGCAAGCCATCTCCAGGCGTTGGCAAATGCACAGGAGGCTCTACGGATTCCATGCCCCTCCCACCGGCACCCTCCTAGCCGGGCCAACCTTTGTTGAGCTCTCCTGGCTCTCAGGTGAGGGTGGGGGGTGGGGGAGCGCTCCCTGTCTGCAGGCCTTACTGAGTCAGGAAAGCCTCGCCTGGACTGACTCTTCTGACCTTCCCCAGTTTCCTCCAAGGCCATCGGAGCTGCCCTCTCCATCTAGGTCAGTTCCAGCTCATCTTCCCCCGCAGATTCAGACTCCCTTTTGTGCCCTGCCTGTAACTCGGAAGTGGGAATCGGACCCCAACACAACCGAGAGTCAGTGAATCATAATCACACAGCGGAAACATGCCCGAATTGTTCGCAGAACTGAAAGACCCATCCTTACGACTCCTCAAGCAAGAACACTCATGGGGGGGGGGGGGACAGAAATGAACACGCACCCCCCCTCACCCTCCCTCAAATGGAAGCAGAGGCTGCTGGAGTGGCTCCCAACCACATCCACAATGCCACCCCCCACCCCACCCCGGCCAGGTCAGATCCCAGCTTAGTGGTAGAGGCTACTGGTGGTGGCCGGGTGGGGAGGGGGCTGGAGCAAGTCACAGACACCCCTTCAGATTTATAAACCAGCCAGGACAGAACTATGGGAATGCTATGAATGGGACCCACGTTTCCTTGCCCCTCCAAATGAGAGGCTCGAGAGACCTGAAAGCCAGACCTGGCCCTTTCTTGACCGAGCAAGGAGGGCTGGCGGGGCAGTTCCTGTGCCAGGCTGGAGGCCTCCCAGTGCTCCTGTCCCTCAAGCTCCTCTAGGTTGGGTTGTGGAGCAGATCCCACAGGGAGACAGCGCCCCCCACTGGCCAAGGCCAGGTACCCTGGGACTGCTCTCACTCGCCAGACAGGAAGGAGCTCCAGCCCCCCCCCCGCCCCCCCCCCCCCCCCCCCCCCCGCAGTTGCAGAAAGGGTCCCAGTGGAGATCCAGA